TGCCCTGGTAGTGAGAGAGCTGTGTTAGCTTGTATTGCTCCGATTTCCTAATCCCCTTAAATGTTAAAGTGAAGAGGAAAGCAGTGGGAGAAAGGACAAAAGGGAGTTCACCACAATACCATTTACTTGTTGGCTGTCCTTCATTAAATGGCTGAATTGTTCTTTCTGGTAGTAGAGCATGGCAGTGGTGCTTTATTTACTTTGGTACTCTAGAGCCAGCCTTTGAAGTTGAATGCAGCTACACTATAGTAAATGAAAAAAGTGATTGCAGTAACTTCAGTGTAAAATTAGTTATTTGAAGAAAACTGGAATTCACCAGATAATCTATTGCTAATTTTGCATATCCCTTTTATGCTATGGAACTGATGTGGATATCAGTCTGAAGGAGAGACAGCTGCTAGTCCAAGTCATGCATCGGGGGTACATGCAGGAGACTTGACTCTTCCCAGATTTTGAAGATGTCACTTTACTAACATTGTGTTTTTTACAGTACAGCTTGGCATTGATAAAACTTCAAACAATGAAAACCTATTGTCCCCATCTCAGAAATAGAAAATGTGCAGGCTGGTGGCTAAGGGTCTCTCTACAGATAGCACTTAATTTTGTGCTCTTGTATACTGGCCAGCTGCCAGTGAAAGTAGAGTCTTCTGAGCCTTTCACTTAATTAAAATAAATCTGAAGAAATTACGGTAGTATTTGGCTAGCTCCTCTTTCCTTGTGTACTGTGGTTCTATCTCTTCTTTCTAAGGAAATTATTATCTCTGAAATTTGAGGTGCATTGTTCCTGTAAAATTATGACTCAGCAAATATGTTGAGTATCACATTGAGGCCTCAGCCAGGTGGCACCCATTGTGTTAGGGGCTGTACAAACATGCAGTGACTGACAGCTCCTGCCCCCCAAACCTTATAGTCTAAAACAAGACATAACATCTGAATGAGACAAGGAGATTGGAGTAACAAAAATAATACTGTTTTATCGCAGACTTGGTGCGTAGGCAATTGACAGCAAAAATAAAAATCAAGTTCTCACACAGAAAACGGGAAGGAATGTATGTGTACATACTTTCAATTTCCTACTTACTTTCATACCTTTGTTGGAATCCCACTCTGTTAAATGTTTGTATTCAAGTGAGACTCTTCTATTTACTATGTCTGACTTGTGCTGGCTTAGGGTACGTCTTCACTACCCGCCGTATCGGCAGGTAGCAATAGATTTATCCGGGATCGATATATTGTGTCTCGTTAAGACGCGATATATCGATCCCCGAACGCGCTCACCGTCGACTCCGGAACTCCACCAGAGCGAGCGGCGGTAGCGCAGTTGACAGGGGAGCCGCGGCCGTCGATCCCGCGCCGTGTGGACCCCAGGTAATTCGATCCAAGATATTTCGACTTCAGCTATGCTATTTGCATAGCTGAAGTTGCGTATCTTGGATCGATTCCCCCCCTCCCCCAGTGTAGACCAGCCCTTAGAAAGAAGGGCTATATAGCACTACACTTAACTTCATGTCTAACTTTTTTTTAGTTTAATAGGCTTAAATTAAAGAATAGTGACCAGAGTGGTTTTTTTCTGTGATTTGAAGAAACAAGGCTGGATCAGACCGGAGGTGGGGAAATGTCCAGGGCTTAATTTGTAATGAAAGAGGTGTTGAGGCTCAAGCAATTTTTTTACTTTCATAACTGAGGCAGCAAGCCCAAAGGTGCCAGGGCTCTGAACTGCCAAGCCTAGAGGTGCTGGGACTCAGCCCTGGCAAGCCCCGGCACAAATTTAGCACTGGAAATGCCCCCCTTTTGTGTTGGAGTGGCCAGTTGGACATCTCCTGGAGCATTGTTGGCTTAGAAGTAGTGACCATTGCTCTCCTTATTGTTGTAGAAGTAAAACAGCAAGTGTCTGCTTAGTCTCTGACTCACACACAGTGTGTGTAGAATTATGGGCAGGCTATAATGGCTTTATCCAGACTAAATTTAATTCCCCAGCACAGATGTCCTGTTCTCTATGGCCTTCAAGTGATTTATTCCCTTTCTGGAATAGGAATTTTGTTGTCATCTTCCAGGCAGGGTTCTTGGTACTCATTGACTCCCCTGGTACCCTAATATATAGGCAGGTCCTTCCTTTGTCAGCTAGGGAGAGGAACCAAGATCCATACAAGCTGAAGATGCATTTTAGAGGGAGGCCAGCCTTCCTGCATCAACTAGTGGGTGAGGTAACTATGGTCACTTTTTTTTTAAGAACAAAATGAAAGACAATTAAGCCAAACCTTGAGTTTTTTCCCCCATCATCTCCTCTACAGCTCCTGCCCTCTGTCTGAGGCCATTCAGGGAGATTGACTCTAGCACACTGCACCACACTCGGTGGGTGGCAGCAGAGGAGAGAGAGAGAGGTTCTTGAGTCCGCATTATGGAGTGCAAGAGAAGGTCACTCATTTGCACAAGACATTGTGCTCCCTTCAACTGCTGCTCTGGTTTGGTTTGAATAGCTCAGGAGGTCACAAATGTTGCATGAGTGAGAATCAAGTCAGTAGAGTTGTTCCCTTAGCCCTAATGGCAAACCAATCGGTTAGAGACTACAGTGGCTCAAAGCCCTAACCCCACAGCCTGCTTCTTTCTGGAAATTCACTCACTAATGGACATGCATTCCTGGTACTTGTCGTATTTGGCACCCAGCTCTTGGTCTTGTTTTATGACTACTTCCCTTGGTAGAGTTTTGGTTAAGTATGGGGATTAGGTCTGAATTACAATTATTAGGTTTAAATGATCCCTACCCCAGATGCCTTATTGTGGAGAAAATGTGCCTGCATCGCCTCCCTCTGAACAAATAAAACAAGAGAAAACAAATTTTTTGTTAGTATAACAGTCTGAGATGAGCTATTCTTAGTGTGTTCTCTCATATGGCAATAATTCATTCTTTTCAAGTAGCTTGGAAATTCATTGGTATGCTACTACTGCTACACTCCTTGTGCAGGAAGGACAGCCTGTTCCATTGTCTTTCCTAATATTAACACATTATGGGCATAATCTTGCAAAACACATATGCATGAATGTAATTTTACTCTGATAAATAATGTTAGGAGTGTGTTTTCAGGATGGCACCCTCACCTGGCAAATGTATTGAAGAATTAATTCATTCTTTTTTTAAAATTTGCTATCTAAATATCCAAATACCTGTTCAGTTCTTCCTTTTTGTTTGACCCTAATCCCAGTTCTCCTTTGAAAAACAAGTACCTACTGTAGAGACAAGATGATAATGAATCCCTTATGAGCCAGAGGTGGAAGGGAGGGATCGATGACTCTGTCAGACCTGAAATCCTGCACATTCTGATGCTGGAGAACACATTTAGATTTAGAGAGAGTACTGCTATATATGTACCACATCCTGTGATGTGTTGAGAACCTCCTATTGAAGCCACGGAGGGCAATCAGCAACCCCTTACAGCAGGGGTTCTCAAACTGGGGGTCGGGACCCCTCAGGGGGTCACAAGGTTATTACATGGGGGGTCGCGAGCTGTCAGCCTCCACCTCATACCCCGCTTTGCATCCAGCATTTATAATGGTGTTAAATATATTAAAACGTGTTTTTAATTTATAAGGGGCGGTCGCACTCAGAGGCTTGCTATTTGAAAGGGGTCACCAATACAGAAATTTGAGAACCACTGCCTTACAGAACTGGACTCTAAACTTGCCAGGGTTTAGGACCTGATCCAAAACTTCTAGCTCTGTATTTCTTGGTCTCTGTGAATTGGAGGAAAAGCTACCCAAATCTGTAAGGAAAATGGAAAATTCCAGTGTACTAAAACAGGACAAAAGGCTGGATCTTTAGGTGTTAAGTGAAATCCTAGAACACTGTGTAAACGAAGGTGAAGGTGGGTGAGACCAGAATGGTAGATTGGTGTGTAGCTTGAGAGCCATATTGCCATAAGACAAGCACTGGTACTTGACTTTGTCTTAGATGAATAACTGAACAAAAGCATCTGACTCTCTTGCTGAGGATCACAGCAGAAAATGGTGCATTCTGAGAAGAGCAAGGTTGAGAGAAGGAAGATGCTGGGTTTATACCAGAGAAAGTAAATGAGCCGACTTTTATGATGCAGCATTTATTGCTAGAAGTAGGAGGATTCAAAGTCCCAAGCATTAGGCTGAGCAATTCTAATATGGTCAAACTTTTTGCAAACCTCCCTTCATCTGTAAAGCAGTTCTCAGTGCTGTATGTTTCAAGTACCAGTGAGCTTTTTCTAAACTACATTTTAAACCTCTCAAAGGGGAGTTGGGACCACCACACAAGCCACTCTAGTCATAAATTAGGTTTTAGAAATGCCTTCTCCAAGCAGCTTGTACTACCTCACATAAATATGGAAGAAAAACAGAATCTGACTAGACTTGACACAAAAGACCTAAAAGTGTATCATTTGGTATTTTACTACAAAGACAGATATGTTGTTGTACATGATTTTTTTTAGTCTAAATTTCACCTTTTAAAAGCTCATCCATGAATCGTTTATTGAACGATGATACAGGGTGATTGGCACTGCCTGAGATGCACAATATAGACAGTCCCTGCCTCGCAAAGAATTTAAGCTTCAATGTGTTACGTGATTCCTCTCATCCTTTGGTGCTATCACCTTCAAATGTTTGTAGGCAGTTGTCATGTGTTCCCTCAGTCATTGCTTAGCCAAGTTTACACATATGTAATATTTCTCATAAATCAATTCCGCCAGCCCTTCTTCCTCAAACCAGCCAACTTGTCCCTATTTTTCTGGTAATGTGGTGCGTGTTCAACTGGCAAGGGATTAAGCATGTCACCTCCTTTGTGCTCCATTATAACCTGTGCTAGTCTAAAATGTGTTCTTAAGCATTAAAGTCTCCATGAAACTGTGGACTCGTGAAAGTTCTTAATATGAGCAACTGAGACCTTGAGCTAAATCAAGAGAATTTTTAAAATAAAAGATGAAGTGTATTTTCTGTGTCAAGTCTTACTTTCCAATATATTGTTTTTAATTTTGCAGGGCTGCTTTAGAGGAAGTGGAAGGAGATGTGGCAGAATTAGAATTGAAACTTGAAAAGGTAAGATGCTTAAGTTGTTTGTGTACACTTTGAAAACTTAAGAAAATTCATATGAACAGGATCAAATAAACCTATTATTCTGATTCTCTGTGGCAACTGTTGCAGCGCTGATGTTCTATTGCAATTAATGATATGTTAGGATGCACCTGATACATTCAGCAGCACAGTTGTTCATTTTCTATGACCTACTTTTTGTGTTAGGCAGCAGTCAAGGGGTTAAGTATTAAAGCAGATTTGGGATAGTAGTCTGAGCTATAGATAAGCAAAATTGTAAATTTTACATATAATAAATGGTTCCAGAAACAACAGAACTAAGGTTAAAAGTGTCAGGGAGATTGCTTCATCTATTTAGTAGACAAAAGGTGGGTTGTTGTTGAAAACAAGAGGAACTTTCCACAAGGCACTTAGCACTATTGTATCTCTGCTGTTGTTTTGAAGTGCAAGTTACCCATTTGAATTCCAGCGCTTGTCTTCACTAAGCATTTTGCAATTACATATATTTTAAAAATAAATTGACTCCTCTTGGCCATCTGTAGAGGGTCTGGACTCACCCCTGCGGCACCTCCTGCTGGTCGTCCAGGGAATTAGCTCACCAGCCTCTGGAGCGCCCTCTGCAGGCCGGTGATCTGCCTTGTCCTCTGCACTGGCCCCAGTGTCCCTCCCAGGACCCTGGTGCCCCTTTCCTCTGGGTGCTGCCCCCTGGCAGTACCCACATGCTAGGTCTCCCCTCCCAGGGGAACCCCCACCCACTAACCCCACCTCACCTCAGGATAAGGCCACTGCCAGTCACCAACTAGCCCCCACTCTCTGGGGCAGACTGCAGTATAGGCCACTCATCATCGGCAAGGTTGGGGTTTGGACCTGCTGCCTTGGCCTAGCCCTGGGCTGCCCTCTGCAACCCCCAGTACCCCTTGGCCTATCACCAGGCCACAGCCTGGGGCTATCCAGGCTGGAGCTCCCCAGCCTTTCCCCAGCCCTGCTCCACTACAGATACCCCGTCTAGCTCCCTGCAGCCAGGCCCATCTCTCTCTGAAGGCAGAGAGAGACTCTAGCCTCTTATATAGGCCAGCTGAAGCCTGATTGGGGCATGGCCCCAGTTGCAGCCACTTCCCCCAATCAGCTCAGCCTTCACGCTGCCTGCTCCCTGGGCTATCCCAGGCCCTTCCAGGCAGGAGCAGGTGTCCACCCTGCTACACCATCACATCACCTTTAACTGATTCTACTTTTACTGAGTTTTCGTGATATTTTAATGTGAACCTTGCAAACAATGACATTTTTCTTTGTATTATTTTAATCTGTAACTTTTTTAAAAAAGCTCCCAGTACCTCCCCTTTCCACCTGCCCAGGATGTCTCCATTCACTGCTTCTCTTGATCTTCCAGTTCTTTCAGATAGTAATAGGATAGTGTTTATAAAAGTATAATAGGATAAATTCTTTCCTCTTGCATGCATGCTGGGTAATATGCTCCTCCTTAAATCAGTTTCATATTGCTTCATTCTGGTTTGTTACAAGTCTGAGAGTCACACATAGTTGTAGATTAAAAACAACTGGCTGTAATAAAGATACTGCAAAAGTATACTTTCTTTTTTAATCTAGTTCCAGCTGCAGTCAAGTCAAAAAGAGCAAAAATCAGGGTGTTGTGAAAGCAACAGCTAGGTATGAGTTGTAGAACTTTTGAGTTAATGGGGCAAGAGAAAAATACAGTAGACTTTTGGTTGCACTGAGTCCTTTTCATAGTTAATCATAGAATATTAGGGTTGGAAGGGATCTCAGGAGGTATCTAGTCCAACCCCCTGCTCAAAGCAGGACCAGTCCCCAACTAAATCATCCCAGCCAGGGCTTTGTCAAGCCTGACCTTAAAAACCTCTAAGAAAGGAGATTCCACAACCTCCCTAGGTAACCCATTCCAGTGCTTCACCACCCTCCTAGTGAAAAAGTTTTTCCTATTATCCAACCTAAACCTCCCCCACTGCAACTTAAGACCATTACTCCTTGTTCTGTCATCTGGTACCACTGAGAACAGTCTAGATCCATCCTCTTCGGAACCCCCTTTCAGGTAGTTGAAAGCAGCTATCAAATCCCCCCTCATTCTTCTCTTCTGCAGACTAAACAATCCCAGTTCCCTCAGCCTCTCCTCATAAATCATGTGCTCCAGCCCCCTAATCATTTTTGTTGCCCTCCGCTGGACTCTTTACAATTTTCCACATCCTTCTTGTAGTGTGGGGCCAAAAACTGGACACAGTACTCCAGATGAGGCCTCACCAATGTCGAATAGAGGGGAATGTTCACATCCCTCGATCTGCTGGCAATGCCCCTACTTATACAGCCCAAAACGCCATTAGCCTTCTTGGCAACAAGGGCACACTGTCGACTCATATCCAGCTTCTCATCCACTGTAACCCCTCGGTCCTTTTCTGCAGTTAAGAAACAGTCAAGGTGCATTACACAGTAATGAGTAAGATACTGATATTTTACTGACTCTGTAAGCAAACGGAGCAGCCATTTTTCACAAAGCACTAGCTTACGTTCCACCTTGGAAATTGGAATGTTTCCTTCAGAGAGGGTACGTGAATTAAGACACTGGAGTTATCGCTGTCTCTTAGAAGTTAAGCCCACTCTTTTTTTAAACTAAAGAACCAGAAGCAGCATGGCAGTACAGTACTTCATTGATAGGACAATCTTGGTAATAACCCAGCAATAAAATAGAATATGACTAAATCCATCTCCTCTGGTGAGGAAGTGAAAGTGCTACCGCTGAAGCATACTGATGGTGATGACTTGGAGTTGCCTTCTCTTTTTGAAGCATGTGTGTGAAATCTTGGTTAACTGTAAGGGAATTTGTGCTCACCCATGGTGAGAAGAATAAACCTCTTAATGTCACAAGCACTCTAAACAGTCTCTTGGCATGCCAGTGAGATCAGTCTATAACAGCTAGCCGTTAAGTGTTTTCGAACAGCTTAGGGCAAAATTAAGCAGCAATTTCTGAAATACTTAAGTCAAATAATTGGTTTCTAAAGCATTAGTTTTAGTTCAGGCTCCCTCCTATGCCTGGACTAAATCTGCTACAACAGCTTGGCTTATCTGATGGGTCAAAATAACAATTACTGCACCTGTGTATGATCTCTTGCTATGTACCTATAAAGGTTATCTAAGAGTTGTCTTTCACAGGAAATTAACTTTGAAATTCTGTAGAACAAAGTAATTTAAAATTTTTTTATTTACCATGATCATTTTTTCCCCTTTAGCTAGTAAAGCTTTGCATTGCAATGATTGATACTGGTAAAGCTTTTTGTGTTGCCAACAAGCAGTTCGTGAATGGAATTCGAGACCTTGCACAGTATTCCAATAAGGACGTAATAGTTGAGGTAAGTGTTGGAGGGTTAAATATTTAAAAGGAATAGTATAACTAGAAAAAGTGGAAACATATATAGCGTAATAATTTAAGTGGGAGCAAGTGTTGGAGAAATCTTTAATTTACAGTGTTACTCATTCTTGCTACTTCTATACAAATTTACTTAACCGTCACTGGCACACCTGTCTTCATGAAGAAGCTTCATTCCAGGCCATGGCACAATCTCCCATTCAGTTTTGGGTTCTGACCTGCACTGGAGGTTGGGTTGTGCCAGACCCCTACCAAAAATATTCTGGGACAGGGTTCTCAACTTGCAGGGTTCTGAACAGGCGTGACGGTCACAATCACTGTGCCCTGTCCTATGTAGGGGGTTGGGTACTGGTATGGAAAAGCCAGAGAACCATTGGTCTGTTTGACTACAATAAACCACAAAATAGGTAGCTTCAGTTTAGATCATGGATCTGAGGTAAAGCACTTTTTGTAAATAAAACACTCTCCTGGCCTACCTTTTCACTGCATTGGGCCCATTTCAGCAGAGGCATAACCTCAAATTCAAATGTTGTCTGGTACAGCTAAGTTCTTTAGTCTGGTAAACTGGCATAACTTGTCGTAGAAAATGTACAAATTTTGTTGTATGGAATTTTGCATAAAAACGTTCCTTTTTTGTGTGTGATTTTTGTTTTTCTTCCTCCGCCCCCTTAATTTTTGACTTGCTGTTTCAACTAAGTGTTTGTCTACACATACAATGCTGCAGTGGCACCATTGCAGCTGAGCTGCTGTAGCGCTGTAGCACTGTAGTGAAGATGCTACTACACCGACGGGAGAGCTTCTCTGGTTGGCATAGTTAATCCCCCTCCACGAGAGGCAGTAGTTATGTTGATGGGAGAAGCTCTCCCTTCGACATAGCGCTGTCTATACTGCGGGTTAGGACGGTAAAACTCGCTCAGGAGTGTGGATTTTTTCATAGCCCTGAGCATCACAGTTATGCTGATGTAAGTTTGTAGTGTAGACCTGGCCTATGTATTTTTTTCATTGAAAACTTGGGAAGATGTCTTTGTGTGTGTGTGTGTGTGTGTTTTCAATATAAAGTTTACATCTAACTGAAAAATTATCATTTTTTGTTTGAAAATGATTTTACTGAAAAATGCACATACAATAGCAAAGTTTCCCATGGAAAATCTGGACCATTCATAATTAATAATGAAATCTGAGAATGTCTGAATTCCAGGTAGCTTTCTGTTGTTTGCTAACTTCTGGATACAGTTGCCTGAAAAGGCCAAGGACCACTGCTTTATAACACTTTTCATGGAGACCTTGTAAAGGATACAGAAATTCACCTGAGATGTTGCTCTGTTGAGCTATGCTGATTTGCAGCAGCTGGGGAATCATTCTTTTTTGCTTATGACAACAATAACCTTTTTTGTTTGTAGTTTTAGCAGTAGATTATTATAAGAAGAAATGTACTCTCTCGGGGGTAATATACATATTTTCTTCATCATTAAACTAAAGTAATTTAAAATAAGTCTATAGGAAGATATTTCTATACACCAGTGGTTCTCAAATGTTTTTATTGGTGCCCCGTTTCACATAGCAAGCCTCTGAGTGCGACACCCCCCTTATAAATTAAAACCACTTTTTATATATTTAACACCATTATAAATGCTGGAGGCAAAGCGGGGTTTGGGGTGGAGGTTGACAGCTCGCGACACCCCATGTAATAACCTCACGACCCCCTGAGGGATCCCAACCCCCAGTTTGAGAACCCCTGCTATACACTCTTATGTTCTCAGTATAACAGAAAATCTATAGCCTTTGGAAGGTTTACTTTTTTGTGTTCCATATCTGACGGGATTTAGCTTTACCTACTTGTTTTCTTTCCTTACAGACCAGCTTGACAAAGTTTTCTGACAGCCTACAGGAAATGATCAATTATCACACAGTAAGTGTGGGTAATTGGAGGATGATTGTGACCATGTCACGTAAACAAACAGATTATGCTAGCTCATGGTATATTATAATATTTATGGCCCTTAATTCTGAATGCATTTGAAATTTGTATGCCTTGATTCTGCAGATATTGCTGGAACTCAACTCTGCACCCTTTGATGCAGCTCTGGAAACTGTGGGTTACTCCTCCTTTCTTAGCAGGCTTATAGGCAGTAGAACCAATTTGCAGCCAGAGTTCTTTGCCAGTCTGAGTCTTGCTTCCCCTCTCCATTGTTTGCTCAGTTTTTCTGGCACAACAGAGATGATACAGCAGATGCAGTGTCTCTGTTCTTTGTGCTGCTTCCTTCTTTGGAACTTGACAGGTCAGTCAAGAACAGAAAACAGAGAAAATGCCAAGTTTGAACACAGCAGTCATTTGTACCATTGTGGAGTCCATCTGGAAGCTCAAGTACGAGTAGAGAGGTTATTTTTTTTCTATATTTGGCATGGTTACAACTGCTGCTGGAATATTGTGTCCAGTTCTTGTGTTCACAATTCATGAAGGATGTTAATAAATTGGAGAGGGTTCAGGGAAGAGTCACAAGAATGATTGAAGGATTAGGGAATATGCTTTATAGAGATATATTCAAGGAGCTCAATTTGTTTAGTTTAACAAGGAGAAAGTTAAGGGGTGACCTGAAGTCTATAAGTGCCTACATGGAGAACAAATATTTAATAATGGGCACGTCAGTCTAGCAGAGACAAGTATACTAGGATATAGTTGCTGGAAGTTGAAGCTAGACAAATTCAGACTGGAAATAAGGTGTAAATTTTAACTGAGGGTAATTAACCATTGGAACAACTTGCCAAGGGTTTTGGAGGATTCTCCATCACTAACAATTTCAAAATCAAGATTGGATCTTTTTTCTAAAATATCTACTCTAAGAATTATTTTGGGGAAGTTCTATGGCTCGTGTTTGACAGGAGGTCATACTAGATTACAGCATTTCTCAAATGTGGCCACAGCCTCCTGGGCTGTGATTGGAGGGTGGGCGGGGGGAAGCAGTGGCTCCTCCCTGGTGCTCCTGGATACACTGCCTTGGTGTTGGTTGCCCCCCTCTGGAGACACTTGGGGCACAACGGTGGAGGAGCAGGCAGCCATGGGTTCCCTTCCTTGCCAGGGGCCGTGGGACTCAGGCTTTGGGGTTCAGCCCTGGGGTGGCGGGGCTGCAGGCTCCGGATCTGGCCGCAGGGCTTCAGGCTCCAGCCCTGGGATCCTGCTGCGTGGAGGCAGGTCCCAGGCTCCAGCTGCTTGGCTTTGGGCTCTGTCCTCTGGCTAGAAGGCTTTGGGCCCAGCCCCCTGCTATATCCCTGGCCCCAGCTGCCTCTCCCAATTTTATCCCCTTCCAGGGCTGAGTAAGTCTGCTGTGAAAAGTGATACCTGTATGTTTGTTAATATCACTTTTCACAACAGACTTACTAGCTAGTAATAAATACATTACGATTTGGACGTGTATATGTGCATATTTATTTGCTTTTTCCAAAAGCTAATTAAGTATTTTAGGAAAAAGTGTGAGAGCAAGAGTTGGCGGCTGCACTCTGTGGCCACCAAATTATTTGTCCTGAGAACCCCAGGACTAGATGATCAGTCATCCATTCTGGCCTTGGAATCTAAAAATCTGTGAAGTTGCAGTGTCTAGGGACTCAGCAGGCTGTCATGCTTGCTGGCTAAGTATATCTCTCCCCATTCTCCTTGCTGCTGCTGGGCTGCCTGCCTGCTAATCTTTCCAGTATGGTACCTTCCTTGCAACATCCGATGACTAGGATTCATGTTTCTGTTGGTTACTACATTCCTGTCCCTGTCCACTGGTGATGGTCGTGTTGACTCCGGCCCGTGTAGAGGTGCGACTGAATCTGGACCCTGCTCACTCGCCGAGGTCAAGCCATGAGCTGCACCTAACCTTCAACACCGGAGACGTCCCAAGAACTGCTTCACCTTGCGACACCGTTCTCTCCGCCCAGACGGGATAAGTCGCTGGCACCGGTCGCTCCCCGGGCTCCTTCAAGGCGAAAGCCTGCTATGATGACCTGCCAATCTCTGACTCCACCACACCAGTCGCCAGCACCGGAGCACACCCAGCCACGCCAATCCCCAAGCCCTCTGCGCGAAAGCACAGTGCCTAGAAATGCCACTCTCCGTGGTCATTGTTTTCAGACATCTCCAAGTTGGGCTCGGGCACCTATCGCTCCCAGAGGAGTAGGAGCAGATGGTCCACGTCAACTTGGGACTGGCACGCTTACCCAGCATAGTGGCCAGCCCAATGGCAGCCCCTGGTGCAGTGGCCCTTTTGGACTCCCTGGGCTTTTCATCAAAGCCAAGGTCGCAGCCAAGGATCTCATTTCAGGGCAACGTCGGTGGCCTCGGCCTCATTTGTTCCCCCGCCAGCACCAGAAGGGTCAGGTATAGGTCCATTACCACCCTGTGCTACCATTTCGGCACGTCCGGTGCAGCCAGCACCGGGCCCAGAGGTCCCGGCAGCGATTTCGACATTGAGAATGACATAGGCACCGATGGAACTTTCAGCACCGGTGGTGCCTGTGTCAGTGTATGCAGCCCTTACACTGAGGGTCGTGACACCATCTGGGTCAGCACCAGCCCAAGAAACCCAGGTGCTGCGGGACCCCTTGGGGCGGAAGGAAGGGAGCAGCCACCCCTCATGGGGCGGTCTCTTCTTCGTCCTCGCTAGATGAGGCGTTGGCAGGCACAGCGACAGCCCTGGCCTTGGAGGACAACAGGATTCTGCAGCAATTGCTGTGGTGGGTTGCCCAGGGTCTGGGCATTCAGGCAGAGGAGGTAGTGGAGGATGCAGATCCAATGGTGGACATCCTCGCCCCCTCCGGACCTGCTCGTATTGCCCCGCCCCGATAAAGACCATCTCTGACACCACAAAAACTCTGTGGCAGACCCCAGCCTTGTTGCCCCCTACGGCAAAGCACAACAAAAGACACTACTTTGTGCCATCCAAGGGTTACGAGCATTTATACACTTATCTCACACCTGACTCTTTTGTGGCTGATTCTGCCAACCAACGTGACCGTCAGGGCTTCCAAGGACCCTCCCCAAAGAATCGGGAGGCGAAAAGGCTTGCCCTTTATGGAATAACGGTCTACTCCACTGGGGGTTTGCAGCTCCACATATCCAGTCAGCAGGTACTCCTACAACACCTCCTCGGCAATGGCCAAATTCATGGAGCTGCTCCCCTTGGACTCCCGTGCCAAGTTTTCGGCGTTGGTAGAGGAAGGGAGACTCATCTCAAGGGCGTCCCTTCAGGCAGCACTTGAGGGGGCATATGCGGCCTCCAGGGTTATGGCCACAGGAATGGCTATCAGAAGGGACTCATGGCTCCACGTTTCTGGCCTCCCCTACGAAGTTGTGGTTTTTTGTTTTGTTTTAAAAAGGGGGGGGGGAAGAGAGAGTGTCAATAGTCTCTCTCTCTCTCTCTCTCTGTCTTGTTGATAGGCTGATGCTGCTTAATGATGGGCTGAAGTTGTGCTTTCTGGACCTCCGATTCAGGCACATTCCTGAGAAATGTGCCATTTGCAGGTTGTTCTCTAAGGCTATGTCTACACTCTGCACCTTTTAGCAACACAGTTGTGCCACTGAAAGGCATGCCGTTTAGCTGCTGGTTGTCGGCAAGAGAGAGCCCTCCCACCGACAAAAAACTTCCACCCTCAACGAGCGGCGGTAGCCTTGTTGGCAGGAGAGCACTAGGGAAGCTCAGGACTGTCTATGAGCTCCTTAAGTGTCTACCTGGCAGCAATCTCAGCTAACCTGCCCATTCAGGGTCACCTAGTATTCATACCCCCAACAGTAGCTAGATTGCTTGAAGGCCTTATACATGTGTTTTTCCCCATTAGGGAGCCTCCCATACCTTGGGACTGTAATGTAACGCTGGAGGGATTGATGGGCCCACCTTTTGAGCCAGGTAAAGGGTCAGGCAATATTGACCATGAGATTATCTAATTGGATTTCCAGTTGAATCGAACTTTATGAATTGGCTGGTTTAGACCTACTGATAATGATTACAGTCCATTCCACTGGGGACCCAGCAGCTACTGCAGCTTGTTTGAGAAATGTACCAATCTTAGGGTATGTCTACACTACGAGAGTAGTTCGATTTTAGTTAAATCGAATATGTGCAATCGATATTAGAAAGTCAAACGTGTGTGTCTACACTAAGGACAGTAATTCGACTTTGTCAGTCCACACTACCAGGGAAAGCGTCGACATTGGAAGCAGTGCACTGTGGGCAGCTATCCCACAGTTCCCGCAGTCCCCGCTGCCCATTGGAATTCTGGGTCGAGCCCCCAATGGCTTCTGGGTAAAAAATTGTGGCGAGGGTGCTTTTGGGTAACTGTCGTCATCCGTCAGTCACTACCGCCCTGCCTCCCTCCCTGAAAGCGCCGGCGGGAAATCAGTTCGCGCACTTTTTGATCAGTGACAGCGCGGACGCCACAGCACTGCGATCATGGATCCCGCTGCGACCATCGCTGCAGTTGTGGCCATTCTCAACGCCTCGCACCTTATCATACACCTTTCCCACAGGCAGATGCAGAGAAATCAGGCGAGGAGGCTACGGCACCGCCGTGAGGGCCTGAAGTCGGAGAGTAGCACAGAGCTGTCAGAAACCACGAGCCCCAGCGCCCAGGACATCACGGTGGCAATGGGGCATGTGGATTTTGTTGAACGGCGATTCTGGGCCCGGGAAACAAGCACGGACTGGTGGGACCGCATAGTGCTTCAGGTCTGGGATGAATCCCAGTGGCTGCGAAACTTTCGCATGCGGAAGGGGACTTTCCTGGAACTTTGTGACTTGCTGTCCCCTGCCCTGAAGCGCAAGGACACCCGCATGCGAGCAGCCCTGACTGTCCAGAAGCGAGTGGCCATAGCCCTCTGGAAGCTTGCAACGCCGGACAGCTACCGGTCAGTCGCGAACCACTTTGGCGTGGGCA